GTTCAGTTGCATTGTTCACTTGCGTTGGGAGTTCAGAAAAATCATCAACATTTATGTGTAGACAAAAAAAGATTAAAAAGTTTGGTGAAAGCACTAAGATTTACGTACTTATTGTGAGTACCCAAGAGAAATATAACATTCCTATTTTTTGACTAGTCACATTGAGATAATCACAAATCATTTTCTGCCTGGATTTATCCAGCTGTCTGCATTTATTTAGGTCATGATAAATTCATCCTTCTTAAAAAGTGACATACATGAGATTTAAGAAAGCAAGGTGTTTCCCTTACACTGTTTGAAAAATGACAGATTTTCTGCCCAGCAAATTTCATAAGTTTTAGCACTGTAAACCAAAGGATATTATTTTCATTTTTTTCTAAATGGCACTTAGAATTTTTGGTTTAAAACCTAGAACCACACGGAGGAAAAATCTTCAGTGATGGGAACAATTTCTACCTGATTTCAAAAGCACCTTAAGTCATGTGAGATGAATTCCACCACAGCTGCCTGCAGTCAGGCCATTGCAGTACAGCATGATCAGCCATACTAACCTGGTCACCTTCCACAACAAAATTTTATCTCTGTTGGCTTGGGGAGACCATTGGCTGTTGTTTACCTGGACAGCAAAGAGTCTCCCATAACCTCCTCCTCCTCGACAAACTGTCAAGGCACAGGATGGAGATGGTCTATGAGGTGGGTAGGAAACTGCCTCACTCAGGGAGTGGGGATCAATGGTTTTTACTCAGATCACAAGTGGCGTCCCCCAGGGATTGATAATTGTGCTCAGCACCTTCACAAATGATCTGGATGTCAGGACTGAAAGCACTGTGATCAGGATTTCTGATGACACCAAACTGGGTCGTGAGGTGAACACATCAGAAGGAAAAGCCATGTCACAGAGAGACCACCTGGACAGGCTGGAAGAGGGGTTAGTGAAAACTGTATGAAGTTTAATAAAGACAAGTGGAGATTCCTGCACCTGGGATGACATAAACAAAAAACCCTTTGCAGGCTTTGCTCTGTGTGGATGGGAAGCAGCCTTGCTGAAAGGGACCCGAGTTTCCTGGTGGAGCATGAGTCAGCAGTGAAGCTGCTGCATGAATGAAGGTAAATGGGATCCTGGGCTGCATCCACAGGGACAGAGGCGTGATCAACACACCCTGTGGTGGTCAGGCCTGAGCACTGTGCCCATCTCTTGTTCCCACAATTCAAAAAAGACATGGACAGACTGGAGAGGGTCCAAAGAAGGGCTATGAAGAAGGGCTAGAGAACCTGTGAGGAAAGACTGAAGGAGTCAGGTCCTTTCACCCTGGAGAAGAGATGGCTCCAGGATACATCATCACAGTATTCCAGTACTTAAAATGGCAACTAAATAAAGGATGAAGGCTCTCTTTTCACAAGGTGTCACAAGGAGAGGACAAGAGGCAATGAGGGCACCTTGCATAGAGACAGGTTTCTTCTTGACATAAGAGGCAAACATTTTAGTGAGAACAATCAATCACTGGAACAACCTACCCAGGGATGTGGTAGAGTTCACACAGCTGGAGGTTTCCATAGCTGGAGGATGTGACTATACAGTGTGCTGGATGATCTCCTCTAACCTTCCTTTTGCATGAAAGGTTGGACCAGATGATGTTTCCAGGTCTTTTCTATTCTATGATTATATCATATGGCTTTACCTCAATCCCTCACAATGGTGATTTAAAACAAAACTGTGTCCTACTGTTGTAGCAAATATGCATACCCAGCATACACACCTCAGCTGATGATAAACAGTAATACACCAGACCTTGACCTGAGATGAAAACCTTGCAGCTGTAGGACAGATCCAGAAATCCTTAATGGATTTTGCCAGACCATTTTTCTAAATGAAGCTGGTGGCTGCTTACCTCAGTCATTTCATTCAGTGGGAGCAAGGACTGAAATTAAATTTCTGAAGATGGATTAAAACATTTGGCCGAATAAAATCCCCCTAACCATTCCACATCTGAACAGGCTCTATAGTGCTCATACTAGCAGAAAAGAAAACAGAGATAACTGAGAAACAGATTAAGCAATTGAAAAGGTATACTTATAGTCATCTCCCAAGACCATTTTAATGTAAGCAAGAATCCTCTCTTTATAAAGAGCAGCTGAGTGAGTCCCAGCAGATATAGGCACAGGCAGACAGAGAATGTAATCTGTATATTTGTGTTACAGGTGGCTTCTACAATTTTTACGGTTTGAAGTATCATGTTGTCCTGTGTCCCTGAGTCTCCAGGGTCCCAAACCTGGCTTTTTTTCTGTTTGTTTTTTTTTTTAATATTTAACACAAAATATTTTCTCCTCCATTTAACTCATGGAATAAGGTCTTAAACCAGCAGTTCTGTGAAGCTGAATTAATTTGTGTCTGTGGAGGATTGTGAAGCACTGTGGGGAGACATCTCTTAAAACTGCAAAGTAGTTTTGCTATTACAGTCAAACTCTCAGTGGAGTGATACAGAAAGAATGTCAAGTGTGAACAAATCTGCAGTTTGTGAATGCTGCAGATGTCTACTGACTGCAGTGAGCAAGTGCTGGGGTCTGCCTCTTCCACTCAGCTACAGAAACAGTCACTCAGCACTAATTCCAGCTTTTCTCCTTGGCAAACAGGTGTGCTGAGCTCTTAAAACTCAAGGAAGAGAGTGGCATGGCAATAGGTTATTGCTTTGGTGCTGACAATTTTCTGTGTTGGATTTCACAGTGCAACGTCATACTGTGAAATGATTAAGTGGAAATTAGCATGTTTGCTTCTCCATTTTTGTGCTTTGAATAAAGGCAGTTTCCCAGTTTTGCCTATTTCCTTGAGTCACTTTTTCCTCAAGGCTTGAAGCAAACTTCTGCAAGCTTTTCTTGGCTTTAGTGGGCTTTGGTCCTCCTTTCTAGCACAAGGTCATGTACAGCATTGGCTGTAGTGCTCAGTATCTGCTTCCAGAGCTAGGCTAGGATTTCCATCCAGGTAATATCTGCCCTTTCTTCACAAAAGAAAAACCAAACAAGAAAATATGCTGAAAGAGAAAAAATATGATACAGAGATTGGTAAGCTCTAAGAAAGACCAAAGGTACTGACACCTCACCTACAAGTTTGACCAGCAAGGAGGTGATAAGTATGCAGGAACTTCTCTGTCCACAGCCTTTTGTGCTCACAAGAAAAAGGCTCCTTAAAAATCCTCTTTGACATCAGTGACTACTATTGCGTGGTCCCCAAGGATTGCAGACACAACAGCCCATGACATGGCACATATAAAATAACTGATAAAAGTAATTTTATTGTAATTTGGATCAAATTAATTATGTAAAGATCTGCACTGAAACACTGTTAGGGTTATAGGACTGAAAAAGAAGTGATAACATGATCTGTAAACACTCCCACCTTCACTAATAGCAGAAATGAGCCCAAGTTATTCCCTTTAATGAAATCTGTGTTATTTATCTTATTCTGTGACTGAACATTTTCCTAAAACACAATAGGGTAAGGTCAGTGTTCACAGATTCTGTAAGTGGGCTGGTTAAGTGCCACTGAACTAATGACTCATTTTCTCTAGCTGCAAAAAATAGACAGGAACAGTAGGTGTTTATTTTTTTTCCTTCTTTTGATGTATCATTTAGGAAGAACTATGTGTAGAGAAAAAGTTAAAATAATGAAAAGATAAATTCTTTGGACATGACATGGCAAACTTGTGATAAGCTGATGAAGAAGCAATGGAAGCATCAAAACTTTCAGAGTAAACAAATTTTACAAAGTAGTTAAAAGGAGAGAAAGGCTTTCTTTCACAGGCTTTAACTATAGAAAAAATCATCACCCAGCACCTTCCAAAAATGATTCTGCCATTTGTCTTACAACTGAGAAAGAATGACACAAATCTCAGATGAGAGAGGGGATAAAAAGCAAAGCACAAAGGATTAAGTGACTCATGCAAGATCACTAAGGAAATCTGGTAGAGATGCTGCAGGGTTCCCAAGTTCTATCTTGTTCACATCAGTGGAGAAATGTTTGACATCCAAGCAAGGCACTATATAGACTTGTTTGGAAATTTTCTGCTAACACGTTTTTTTTAATTGTAAAATTATCATTTATTGCAACTTTCTGGACTACAAGAGTTTTTCTGACCTTGGGCCAGAAGGGATTCTTCAGCTCCAAAATAGAAATCTAGTCTCACAGTGCCTTCAGATAGGGGAGAAACAGACCAAATTGCTAATTCAATTAATATTCTACTATTATTTAGGATGAGACAGCTCTAACAGGAGAGTGTGGGACAGCCTGGAGGGTAAAGTATTAGGTGTGAGTGCAATTTTTGTTTCACAGGTTCTTGCATTTAGTCATCTGCTAGAGACCATTCTGAAGGGCTGTCACTGTTTGCTGTAGCTGATCAGTCAGTTGGATTTTTTTTTTTTAATGGTTTTGACTTAGTATTGTTCCTTAAATGGGAAAAATTATTGTCATCCTGAAATAACAGGGAACATTCATATTTTCAACCTTAAAAAATACCTCCCAGGCAGAAATAGCTGTATCCTACATGTCTTCCCATGTTTAGTGTTAACAACATACTTAGAGTCCTCCTGGAAAGAATGTTCATTAGGAACAAAAACTGTGCATGGATTTACAAGTTCAGCCTCCTGCACGTTACAATCAAGCCCTGTTAACACACAGTAAAAATGTCATAGAACTGTAGAATCACTGAACAGTTTGAGTTGGAAGGGATCTTAAAGTTATCATCTAGTTCAAACCACCCTGCCATGGGCAGGGACAACTTCCACTAGGTCGGGTTGCTCAAAGCCCCATCCAACCTGGCCTGGAATATTTGCAAGGAATGGGGCATCCAAAGCTTCTCTGGATAACCTATTCCAGTGCCTCAACACAAAGTAAAGAATTCCTTCCTAATATCCAATCTAAAACTACCCTCTTTCCCTTTAAAGCCTGTCGTCTCACTTCAGGCAGCCCATTTTGCAGATGTATTTGCTGTGCACAGCTTCCAGCCCCTCAGCCCTCAGCAAACACGGTCTGTGCATCTTCCCTGCTCCTGCAGAAAGCTTGGAAGAGCTGAAAGCTTGGGTAAATCACCCTTCCTCTTAAATGTGTTTCTAGGTCATGGTGGTTTATACTGTTTCTAATCTCTAAATGGTAATTTCTTTTCCTAGGTGGAAAAACTTCAATGTTTAAATCGACAGATGTGTTGTTTGTTGCTGTTGTGGTTGCTGTTACCTTTTGTTTATGAGCTGGGATGCCAAACTTCCAATCTCATTTCTCATGTATTTTCCACATCATTAACTGTTTAAATTTCCTGTGCTTGGATGGCTGTTGCTTCTCACTATCAATTCTCTCCAACGTGGCTGTGTTAAAATGTAGAAACTGTTATAAAATCACAATAGAAAAAAGACCAGATGGCATCAATAACTGCTAATGCACCCCCATGTTTATGCTCCAGCATGTGTCTGATAGATGGGGTAAGTGCTAGCCACCGATATTCTGTTTGTGTCATCATTTGCTGAGTTTGCTTTTTAATTAACCATATGCTCCCAAGGAAACCTTGGAAGCATTTAACATGGTTCCCCAAAATACACCTGCAATGCACCTTAAAAATGGACAGCATTTTAAAACACAACTCCTTTTCGTTTGCAAAAAGGAAATACATCCTATGAAAAGAAACTGAACTGGTTTCTATTCCTGTTTCTTCCCTAACTGTTTTCTAATGAAGAGCCATCAGTTTATGTTTATTGGTCTCTAAGCTGCACGGTCTGTAACAACATGCTTATGGTATGCATTTTTTTAAATCCAAACACCAGAATAATTATCAATATGACCAAAAAATAGTTGGAGTCACTTTCACTGTGCAATCTCTTAAGACTCCTGACACTTCTATATGTTTATGAAAGCAATGCAGGATGTAGACTGTCAGACACTGACTTTCTGTGCAGTCAGTGAGGAAAAGCAGTCACATCCCCGAAATTTGGGATTCGTAGTAAATGACTAAATATGCCATCCTAGTTATGCTTTTCCATTATTCATGCAGTCAGCTTCCATCTGGCAGCCTTAGGTAGCAGGTTGCTGGATTTGTCCCATGGTGTCACCACTGTACTCACTGTGCTCTCTCACATGTACTCAAAGCAGAGAGATGACACTCATGGCAGAGGGATTATTTCTGGGGTTTGTGACTACAGGTCATTCTTAGAGGGAAAGGACAGCTTGTCATGTCAGGAGGAAGGCAATTTAATGTAGGTTTTGCTGATGTTAATTTGATTCTAACAAAAGGGTTAGAGCAGTCTGGTTTTCACTGGCTTAATGGGGATCTGAAAGCATCCTAGAATCTTAGAATATCCTGAGTGGAAGGGACCCAAAAGGATCACTGAGTCCAACTCCTGGCCCTAAACAGGACAGCCCAAGAATCCCACCACATGCCTGAGAGTATTGTCCAAACACTTCTTGAACTCTGTCAGGTTTGATGCTGTGAAACTGCCCTGGGGAGCCTGTTCCAGTATGTGTTATCTGTATTTCCTTGGGGCTTTTAGGTCAGGGTCTGTATTCCCTACATTTCCAAAACTTATCTAACTAAATTTCGTATCCAGAAATGTAGTCATTGACATCTGAGCAAGTTTCTTGTGTTCCTCTTATAGTTTATAGAAAACAAGTCCACAGAGTCAGTGAAGCATAAGGTGAGTCATTTAAGCAGACGTAGGTATCTACTTTGGGATGACATGAATCACCCCCTTCATTGATCATCTAGAAACTCAAGGCCAGCTTCTAAAGATGCTGATGGCACCTTATACTGTCTCATATGGTAACTTAATTAGTGTGCTTTGCCTCCCACCTTAGTTTCTTGACTTTTGAAATGGAGATCGTACAATCAGCCACACAATTTGTGAGAGACGAAGATAATGAGTTCATGTTTGTACAGTGCTGAGGAAATCTTAAATCCAGCAAGCTGTGCAGTAATGATAGAGTCTTAACCCATACTGATGAAGACATACTGTTTACATACAGACAGCAAGAGAGCCATAAGCTCTGGTTATGCTGGCAACCCTTCAGGGTCCCTACATGGCTTTCAACATTAGGTAGTTTGTAAATAGGAATATTAGGGTAGATATGTTGGAAAACTTGCCTGGAGTAAAGAAGAACATTATCAGCTGAGCTGGAACAGTGAATTTTTGTGCACAGCTCCTGTGGCAATTGCTAATTGTCAGCTGTAATGTAATTCTACCTTCAACAACTTGTGATTCCCTCATTTAATCCTGAGGAAATACAGTTAATTTTTACGTTTTCTATGTTGGCTACTGAATGTCTGAGAAATGCCTTCAAATATTTCAGGATGAAAAGAGATAGATAAATATTATTAATTATCATTGCAAGTAAGGTAATTTGTTCTAAAATTTCTGCAGTGTACATGTATATAATGAGTCAGGGTGTTTCATAACTCATCAGCCTTCAGCTGATGTTTTATAGAAAGAATAACTGATTGTGGTTGTTAAAAGCATGGCTCAGTGCAGAATTTTTGCTACCATCTATATATTGCACAAATATCTTTAGAAAAATCTTGGCTACAGTATTTCATCAAGGCAAGTGAGTATGTAAATCAGTATACAGTTGAAATCTGTGGTATCAAGCCACCAAAATTGTTCACTTATTCTCCCCAGTAAAATTTTCAGCAGCAGATAAATTGCCATGTCCTTAGAGGTGGGATAAGATATTGTAGATGTGAGATAAGACATGAGATAATCTCTGAGGTAATAAAGTCAAATGATAAAACTTTTCACTATAGCCATGTCGGTAAATGATGACTGGACAGCATAATCCTTTTAGAAGAGTAACACTACCGACATACATCTAATCTATTCAGTAAAAGGCTGATTTGCCCTTCTCCTCCACAAAGTAATCACAAAAATTACAGTCAGAAAGGCTAAGCAGCACAACCATTCTCACGGAACAAAGAAAGGTAATCAGGATGGATTGTACAAACATATCAGGAGAGAAAAAAATAAAATCAAAAAAAACCCCAAACCCAAAGGGAAATGTAAGTCTATTTCTTACCTGAAAAGAACTAATAATAAAAGAGCAAGAAAGTTCAATATTCCATACTCAAATACTGGTTAAGTGAAGCTGAACTATTAAATGTGTTAATTTTAAGAAGAGGATAAGAGCCTAATATATAATAAGAAATAATAGGTTAAGGAATATTTCGGTAAATTAGATGTGTTCAACACAACAGTATATTCAGCACCCAGTATCAAGTGGTGTCCCTCAAGGGTACACTGGGACCAGGACTATTTAATATATTCATGAGTGACATAGTGAGTGGGGTCAAGGGCACTCTCAGCCAATTTACAGGCCACCAAGCTGAGTGCTGCAGTTTATTTGCTTGAGGGAAAGGATCCCATTCACAGGGACTTGGGCAGGCTTGAGGAGTGGGAACATATGAACCTCATGAAGTTCAACAAGGCCAGGTCAGCAAGGTCCTTCACCAGGATCAGAACAATCCCGACTGGAGGATGAGAGGATTGAGACCAGCCCTGCAGAGATGATGGTGGATGCAAAATTAGACATGCACTGGCAAGGTGCACTTGCAGCCCAAGAAGCCAACCATATCCTGGGCTGCATCAATCAAAGTCGGTCGAGAGATGTGATTCTGCCTCTATAATCCACTTTTGTGAGAGCCCACCTGGAGTGCTGTGTCCAGTGTGGGCCCCCCAAAGAATAACATGGACCTGTGGGAGCAAGTTCAGAGAAGATCATGAAGATGCTCAGGGGGCTGGAGTACCTCTGCTGTGGAGAGAGGTGCCCAGCCTGGAGGAGAGAAGGCTCCAGAATGGCCTTATTTGGCCTTTCAATATACAAAGGGGGCTTATAAGAAAGATCAAGAGAAACTTTTTACCAAGGCCTGTAGTGACAGGACAAGAGGTAATGGCTTTAAAATGAAAGAGGGTGGGTTTGAATTGCACATAAGCAAGAAATGTTTTTACAATGAGGATGGCAGGACACTGTCTCAGGTTGCCCACAGAAACTGTGGACATGCCATTGTTGGAATGGTTCAAGATTGGATGGGGTTCAATGTTGGATGGGGTTTTGAGCAACCTGATATCCCTGTGAAGAGGGATTAGAACTAGAAGATCTTTGAAGGTCTCTTCCAATTCAGACCATTCTATGATTATAACACTGATTCCTGGTACAAAATAAATTTCAATTTTTAAATTATCTTCCACGTGTCACTGCCTAAAACATCAGTCATCATTATTCCACTATAATTAGTAGTAGGGTATTGTGACCTAGAAATAAGTGACCAGCTCTGGGCACCACACACTACAAATATTTCTGAAAAATTTGAGAGAATTCAGAAGATTAAGAAAAAAAAAAACAAACCCAGAATAGCAAGCAGTGCAATAAGCATGACCTGTGAAAGAGTCAGAAAGACATGAGATGATGGGATAGTATGACAACAGTCTTCAAATATGAAAAAAAATTGTAGTTCATGTTCTCTATGAAATAACAAGAGGGAATCAGTAATAATTTGTAGCAAGTGTTACTCAGCTACAAAATGCCATGTATGAGGATGACGGCACAGAGTGACAAAGCCCACTGCAGTCTCTCAGTCACTGGGTGGCTCTAAAAACACGTCAGACATAGTCAGCATATGTAAATAAGATTGTCTAAACAGTCACTCAATGACCCACACAGCAGTGGGGAACAGTTCTGTTCCCCAAATATATTCTCACTACTTTGTGTGGAGAGAAAAGAGGGCAAGAGCTAACAAATGGGCTCTACTATAGGAAGCTATGACTGGATCCTTTACAGATTATCTGAGTTATACAAATGGATCATTTTAAAAACTCTCTTATTGCCCTGTTCATAGGGGAGCCAATCTGGAGGTTGTCAGAGACAGCCTTATTATGTTAAAGGTACTAAAAAGTAAGGCTGGATTAGCCTGGGTTTGGAGCATCCCTTTAATTGCTATCCAGAGGCTTTTTTTATAGCACAGGGAACAGTATCATGAGTTTTTTCTGTCTGTAAGTAGGAATAATCAGTTGCTCACCCAGTTTTTAAAGGCAGGTTTTCATAAACATTACTGTAAATTTGACAACCAGTTGACATTAATTTCCAGTGCAACTGGAAATTTTTCATGGGACTATATTTAACTTGTTTCAGTCATAGGCCACTGGACAAGGTGTATCTTCACCTGGTCTCTCAGCCCCTGGTTTGCCTCCAATCATTCTGCTCCACCTCAGAGCCAGCCTCTGCCTCCTTGCATCTCCTTGGAAGTTCTGTTAACAAATTCCCCTGCCCGGTGCAGCACCCTCCTCACCAGAGCTCATTCCTGCTCACCCCTTCCCCAGTGCACCTCTCTTTCAGGTCACTTCACTGCCTTTAAGCCCAAACAAACATAAAACACAGCGATCCTTCTTTTGCTGTCTTCCAGCCTCCAGAACCCGGGGATGCAGAAGTGGCTAATTGTACATGGCATCTTGCTGGACTTGAATGGCACTGAGGAAAAGCAAGTGTGATTCAGCTGAAGGCTATGTGGGTTTGTCAGCAGTCACAAAATCCCACTTGGACAGCACAGGAGTGTGAAATGACGCTTCTTGGAAAAAGTGAGGCCCTTTAGGTTGTTTTTTAGCAGCATGTTCATTAAGTGCAGTGGTGCCCAGAAGTTATTTTGGTTTCAAGCCTCTGATCGGGACAAGGTCACTCTCTACATTTGCTTCCCGGTTAAAGGAATTTGTTAATTTTGTAATATTTATGCTGAGTTTTAACAGTCTTGCTTCTTTTGGGGCTGCTTCTTTTGTGACACAGTGTTTTGTCTGTGTTTTATTTATGTGAGGTAGATGCATCAGGACATGCCAGCTGTGAATTTGGCTATTTAGACAGAAGAACACATGGGACTGAAGCAAATATCTCATCCCCACAGAAGGCTGCTTTCAATTTAGCACCCATAATACTTTCTACCTAAGACTATTGCCTAAAAGGCTGCTTAGGAAAAAAGGACTGCAGGCCAAATTAGGTAGGAGGTTACATAAAGACAATTGGTCCTTTAGTGAGTCCTTAGGCCTAGAGGAGTGCATACCACATGCCCATTCGAACTCAGGTTCTATGAATTTAAAATTATGTCCATCCAACCCCAATCTGTCCATCCCCCAGTTCTGCCCCATTCTGCCCCACAACACACCCTTCAGGAATTGAGTCTGGGGGTGTTTAGGACCCCATCTTTCCTCATCATCGTCTTCTTCACAGCACATACAGTCCTTGGAGTTTCTCCAAAGTTCTGGGCTTGAGGGTCGCTGTGTCTGTGTGATGTCTTCTGGCCCAGGCCTTAGAAGGTTTTTCTACAATTCTACCTTGAAAAGAAGACTAAACATGCTAACCGAATTTAGAAGGATTGATATGGAATGGGGTAAAATGTGGAACTACTCTGTTAAGGGTAAGGAATATAATACAGTTACATTAAAAGCTATACTCACTACACAACTACTTCTAAAATCTACCAAAATTAAAAATTCAAAAACTCCAAGGCAATAGTCCCCTTGTTAGAGACTGGACAAGACTCAAAGATCTTGTCTAGCCTGTACCACTTATACTTAACATCATACCAGTAAAATAACTAATACCTACATCATCGGTTCATACAATGAGCTATTACACAAATACTAACTGTGTATATCACTAATATAAACAGTTGTTTTATCCGGGTCCAGTTCGGTAACCATGAAGTAATTTTATGGAAGATATCTCTGTAAACCTAATGAGACATCCTCAGGAACTGCTCATTTTAGGATTTAAACTTGTTGCCAAATATCAGGCAAATCCACAGTGCAAATCCAGCACTCACTTTCATGAAGAATATTGGGTGCATTTTTACTAAAGCCAAATCTAAATTTTGGTTCTAAACCCAATCCATAGTTACTGGTTGTAACCACGTGCGAGACCCAGTGGAAACTTCACACACACCAATACGATGTTTTGGAAGCTTCATCTTTATTGGAAATTACACTTATTTTTATACAATTCAATAACTACCACATATTTGACTACTTAACCTATTATTGGTCACGCACACAAAACACACACTGTTCACACGATTATTATTGGCTAGCCAACATATCTTATTTTCTAAATTCTTCTCCTTCTAAATCTAACCACAATACTCTATTTACATGCCTCCTGGCAGGTCCAGCTCAAACTCCCATCTGAAGGTGCTGTTTTTCTCATTCCTGCAGATGTCCAGTCCTTGTCATGTTCTCAAAACACTTAGTCCTTGAGACTCCTCAAATTCCCACCAGCTGGTTCCCTCCTGCCTTAACCCAAAAGGTCTCTAATTCTCCTACAACTGGTGGTATCACACAATGCACAGAGAAAAACAGTGCAAACATCATTTTAACAGTTTGTAACAGTTTCCATTGTTCCACTTGGGTCAGGAACAGAGGCCTTTTTCCCTCTGGGTAGAGAATCCAAGGTTCTCTACCAACAACTCTGAACTGATGGAGATGGTCAGCAGAACTTGAAATAGTTGTTTCTGCTTGGCTTGCAGGGCTTTCAGTCCCACTGTTGAGCATAGGCTGTTTCTGGGCTGGAACAGATGAACAGGAATGTCCAGTCCCATAGGTCTAGATGACACGATGAATCTCCGCAGTTCCTGCAAAGCAGAGCCTAAACCAGTAACCAGTTTTGCAAATTAACCTTCCTTTAAATGAATAGGGATTATGTTGTTTTGCGCCTTAGACTGTACGTGGATGGCCATAGACAAGGCCTGAACCCACAACATAGATGTTTCTTGACAAACTCTGTTTATTTGTGTACTGTGAGTCAATGAAGTGTGACTCTCTGTCCGATGACAATCTCACAGGAACCCTAGATCTTGGAATTCCTGCATCTTGACTGTGTGAGAAGAAGTTGAGCTTTTATAACATATAGTGATTAACTGCCGGTCACAGATCTGTAGGCCATTTAGGAGCTTACCAAAAGCAGGCTGCGTCTGAATGCAACACCAGATAGCTCTCTGGCAGTGCCAGTAGATCATCACAGAGAGCTTTCACTCTCCAGACAGATTCCAGGCCTTACTGGGGAAAGGACATCCTGTCACAGTCTGCCCTAGACTGCAGTCGATCATCTTTACCTCATGGAGTGGCAGGGCAAGTACCTCTCACCTCCATGGATAAAAGCATCCTCGGATACTGGGTTAGGTGCACTTATGTATATGTGAACACCAACAAAACAGCTGTATTACAATAAAGCTAGGAAACAATCTAAGCAAACCATTTAAGTGAACTTAACAAATTGTCCCAACAATGATGTTACCAGTTTGTCTCAAAGATTGTCGGCAAGATGTGAGTCAGGTCTCAGGGTCCCATGGGAGGGTCCACAGAACCAGTGCTGCAGCCACTTTCTCACCCCCCTTTCCATCCTAACACAGGACTTTTCTTCTGTGAAACTCAGCATTCACACACTCCTAGATGACACTGGACACAAAAGCATTTTAGAGGCATGAGGTACATAAATTTGATCTCACAATCACATGAAATCCTATGTGGATTTCTCTACCAAACCATCTCCTTCAGGAGGAATCCCTTTCACAGGCTGCAGTAGCCAAAGAGGTGCAGATATTCCAAACGGTGTTCTCAAAATGCTGGTTAACTACTGGGACAGAACATTTACAAATACGAACACTGCAAACTTTAAAGCAATCAGTGTAGCAAAAGCAACATAAGCTTTCGATTTTTCTGCAATTAAACTAACAGTAAGAGAAGCCTAAAAGCAACACAGGACAGAAGATAACAAAACCAAACACAATAGTCATGGTACTATCTAATGTTCTGACAGTATTATTCAAATTGCAGTCTGATTCTTGTATGTGCACCACCTTTGGAGATCACAGGCTGATCTTACCAGAGTTCTTAACTGTGATAGAAGCTTTTCCGTATTGGTTTTTCTTGTTTACTTATTACAGTCCAAAACCTCTTGTTCTGGTGTATCTCACTTGCAGTTGTTAAGGCATTTGTTCACTTCTGCACAAAAGTTGTTTTCATCCATACCAATTTCAGTCTGAGTTCTGATGGCACAGTTCCCAGGTTTGTCTGCTAAAATAGACTTTCTGCAAACAGTCAACTTGTGATAAATTGTTAGTTCACACTGAGAGCAAAACAGTGTCCCCCCTTCTGATTTTGCCACAGTCCTCTGAGCTCAATTGGGACACAGAGGGAAGGAGTACCCACAGGCTGTGAGCCTGAAACAGGCCTAGAGCACACAGGGGGCAATATAGCTAGCTCTTCTTCCCCCACACTTTTCGTGTTAACCAGTCCAGCGGGCGAGGGGAGGGACCACAGCGATGGCCCGCCAGTCCATGGGACATCGCCAGTCGCTCAGCCTTTCATACCGTGTCTATTCCTGCCGGGTTGCCTTTGGGAACCCTCCCGCAGTTCACCACAGGGACGGGGACAGTGCCAGCCTCTGGCAAGCTTTCATTCTGAGCTTCTCTTCTCGCTGTTGCATAAAGTATCTTTCCCGGTTTTCTACTAGTCCTGGACTCTGTTGCTATAGCAACAAGTGCGAGCCAGGAGCTCGAGTGGGCCGGGCAGTGCCGACTCTGGATGCGGGGCGGGCCCTGGGGCGGCCCAGGGCAGGACCACTCGTGTCCGCGGTGTCCGCGGTGTCCGCAGGGGCAGCCCCGGCCCCGCCTGCCGCAGGTCTCTGGCCTTCAGCTGCCGGACAGCCCGGGGCTGTCCCCCCCAACGCCTCTCGCTGCCGCCGCAGCTGCTCCCCGGCCGCGCTGCCCTCGCTCACAAGCGCCTCCAGCATCTCCAGGACTCGCAGCACCCTGAACTGCAGCTGGGCGCGGGCAGCGGCGAAATTGGGCCCGAGACTGAGCTGCACGAAGTCCCAGCCCAGCACGGTCGAGATGCAGTAGACATCGTCGACCGTCATCTGGAACGGGCTCTTCTCCAGAGCCCTCTCCGGGCCACCATCTATATCCTCCGTTCCGGGCTGTTTAGAAAAGACAGGAAAAAACTGCAGCTAAAGCTTCCAGCATGGGATTCAAATCCGTGGCACTCATGATTATCAAACGAGTCCTACTTTCTGCACACCTAAAGCGACTTCAGGCCAGGGCCAGCTAGTTTAAGGTGGAAAGGCATCCCCCCTTTCCTTCCATCTGTACCAAGCCAACACAAAATCCCCTGAGTAAACACAGTGCTATGGTCCCGTCTACCGTCCCTGCCCTGCCTTTACCGGAGCCGTGCCGGGGAGAGGGGGAGGAGGATGGGGGGGTCCTCAACCCACACCCCCTTAAGCATTCCAGGCCAGTCAAACTGCCCCTCCAGGCGAAGCACTTTTCGCCCACAGACTGGGAAAGCTCCGACTTTTTCAACAACACGGGCCCAAGTCTCACTTCACTTCCCAGCCCCACCGTATTCCCAATTTCCAGGGGAAACTCCACTTTATAATTGCTAGCAAAATCACCCCAAGGGAGCCGCTTTCTTATCTCACCTCCATGTGTGTGTTTCTGAGGAGCTGAGCTTCTCAAGGTCGGTGCGGGAATTCTCCAAAATATGCCAGCAGAAGAAGAATTTCCTGCAGAATTATGTTTCCCGATCTGGGGGAGTCAAAGATCCCACTTTTCTGTCTTTCAGAGTGCCAAACTGTTTTCCTCCTGCAGAGGAAAAAATGACTGCAGGCCAAATTAGGTAGGAGGTTACATAAAGAGAGTTGGTCCTTTAATGAGTCCTTAGGCCTAGAGGAGTACATACCACATGCCCGTTTGAACACAGGTTCTTTGAATTTAAAATGATGTCCATCCAATCCCAATCTGTCCATCCCCCAGTTCTGCCCCGTTCTGCCGCTCGACACACCCTTTGGGAACTGAGTCTGGGGGTGTTTAGGACCCCTTCTTCCTCATCTTCATCTACTTTGCAGCACGTACAGTCCTTGGAGTTCCTCCAAATTTCTAGGCTTGAAGGTTGCTGTGTCTGTGTGAAAGCTTCTGGTCCAGGCCTTATCAAGTTTTCTACAATTCTACCTTGAAAAGAAGACTAAACATGCTAACAGAATTTAGAAGGATTGATATGGAATGAGGTAAAATGTGGAACTACTGTGTTAAGGGTAAGGGATATAATACAGGTACATTTAAAGCTACATTCACTGCACAACTACTTCTAAAATCTATAAAAATTAAAAAATCAAAAACTCCAAAGCAACAAGACCACGAATAAAATCTCTTCCCATGTATTTCCTATAGACTGTATATGAAGATTTAACTAAATTATTGTAAACCCTTTGCAGTGCGTAAAGAAATGCAAGCCCAGTCTGCTTTCTAGCATGCAGTCACCTAAAAGAGAACACACCTCTACTGAGAAAAAGACCTTTCAAACTGCAGAAAAGTATTGATACCAAATGGATATATACATGACTTTGAAGAAGTGTAAACTCCACTGGATGCAGTAAAATCTTGCTTCATTTCCTTAGGAGACAATAGAAAAAATATGACTGAGTTCAGTGGCGGCTCCTTGAGGAAGCTGGAGATGTGTTTTGGAAGGATGTGTGGAAATAGACAATGTAAAATCCTGTGGAAGACAGGTTTTATGAATAAAAAGAAGCATCAAAATCCATTTTTAACACAGATCTTCTAAAGTTCAGTAGTCAGATAGTCAAAGAATAGACTGTTATACTGGCAGGTCTCAAATGGTCAATTTGAAAAGCTCCTTCAAATCTACTTACTGTGGTATGAGGTCCCTATCAGACCCATCTACTCATTTCATAAAGTATTTATTGCTTTTCTGTTGAAGACTGGTGCAGCTGCTTCATTACTGCAGTTTTCATTCCTAGCTGAGGAATTCAGAGTACTTCACTAATTTAGCTTCCCTTTTGCCTGAAGAAATGAATACAATTAAATAGACTGGACAAGAGATATGCTTAAAGTTCCACTGCAGTTTTGTGACTTGAAGTTTATAACTTTTAAGGGCTGGCTAAGGTTTAATCACCAAGTGAGACCTTATCACATGAACTCAGTAGTAAGACAGTTGTAGATTTCAGATTGAAACTTTAAAGAGGCCCTTTAATTTAGGTGAAAAGAATGATTGCCCTAATCAAGAATGACTGTAGGCATTTCTCCTAACATAATCAGCAGCAGCTGCCAGATCAGGAAACACTTTCCTGGGACACTGTTTCCTCTCTCAGGGTGTTGTTACATGAAGATCAAAGCAGCAGAACCTCCCTAAGGAGCACCTCCACAATGCCTGATTACAACCCTGCAATAGCCCACACTAAGATGATCTCTCCTGGTTGGAGACGCACAAGCATGAAGTAAAAAAAAATACCACCTCTGGAGCAAACCACTCTTCAGAGCTGAAACCCCTCATGGCAAAATCAGAGTGACTCCAAACTAGTTCAGACTCTAAGGATGCATTTTTGTCCTAAATAAAATCAAGGATAAAAATCTACACCATAACCTGCAGCCGCTTGAAGTGAACTTTCAATCGATTTCAGTAGGCTGGGACTGAATGAGAAAACAAGCCTTATTAGATAGATAAAAAATACAAATGCTCAATAGGAGGACAGCCTACCAGTCACAACCAGGTGCTTTAGCACAAAGCAGCTGCACACACTGATGAGTGCTTGGCATAGGTGTACAAAGCTCTTCCATGAATTTATATGAAAGTGAAGAGGCAGAAGTTAAAGTGTTCTGAGGTAGGAAACAAAAGAGAGCTACCTTCTGCAGAGAAGAGAAAGCAAAACCTCTTGCTGATTTAAATTGACCCCAGACAAAGAGCCTGGGTACTTACTGAAAGATTAAACCTTTATAAAATGGTCTGCTCTCTCTATACACACAATTTTCTCTTTTGCCTACTGTTTTGATGACCTGGATAATGATGTGTTTGTTGAGAAACATCTCTTACCACACTGACATGGTCCAGAGCCAGACTATGATGACGAGTCCTCTGCATCAATCATTGTCAGATGCCTCTACGACCTCACGGCAATAAACCCTGCCACAGTTGTGTTTCCTCTGCTCATCTCTAGTTACTCATCTCCCACTTCCAGTGAGCCATTCCCTGAAGTCCCCTTTCATCAGCTCCTGTGAGGTGACAGATGGCCAAGGGTTCTGCTGTCAGCACGGGGTCAGCAGTGAGAAATGTACAGTAAATGTGATGGCACTGGGGACAGAGCACACAGGACACTCACCATCTCAGCACAAACCCAGAGCTCATATGACACCATTTTTCTTGCCTAAGCTAACTACAGAACACGTTCATGGCCAGGCAGTAAGCAGTCAAACACACAGAGGGAAACTGCTGGGGAAAAAAAGGAAGGCAGAATAATTTGGCATTTTGCACAGTTTGTACAACCAAACCAAACAATACAATTGTTTCTACTTTGATTTTGGGAAAAGAACAAGCCAAGAACATTTTTTTTTTCATTAAATTTGCCTCTATCTGATAATCTGTCATCCCCATTCATTCTTCTGTTTTCTCCACTATCACCTTCCTGTTCTCATCTGTCTTGGAAATATTCTTATCTGAGATCTTCTCTTCAGTTATCCAGAGGGCACTGAGTACTTCACAGCCCATATTTATCCAAGACCGAGCTTTCATTTAACACATATTATTAATCTTACTATGGCTGTGAATTCTCAAGTGGCCCTAAAATTTGTAGGTTTATAGTAAAAAACCCAAACAGACAAAACCAAACCAAACCAAACAAAACAAAAAGGGGCACATACACACACACACACACACAAACACACAAAATTTCCACAACTTTTCATGGCTCAGAGCTGAAAACATTATTGCTGCTGGAGTAATATTCTACTGAGAAGGCTGAGAATTCGGGAAAGGCCAGGGGATCACAAGTAATTGTGTTACAGCGATTTAACGAGCTTCCAGTCACTTGCCAAATCACAGTAATTTTTTATATTTATTTTCATCTACTATCCCATCTACTGTGTCAAATACATTCTGTGAAATCACTGTTTGACTCACTGAGTAGCTCGACCACTCGCAGATAGCTGTTAATACCCTGAGGATGTTTATTTACAGTCAGGTCTGTCTTCATTTAATATGCATATATGAAAAGCAGTAGCAAAACACTGCTAGATGATTCACATTGTTTCTCTCTGCTTGGTGAATAACAGAAAAAATTATCAGTAAATTTCCCATAAGAATTAGAAATTAACTCATTTCATCTGTGCTTATGCAAGTTTCACTCTCCTTCCTGCAAATATGCAAGTAATTGCTTTTTACTGTCTGTGCAAAGTGAAATTAGAGATGTGTTTTGTACATGACAGTGCTTGTGCTGGCAATGGTTGTGTACATTCGGGAGTAGCTTGAGAAAGGGATGTGACTTACCTGAGGCAGCAGCACAGCTCAGCCTTTGAGTATACCAAATCAATCTGTAAAGCTAAATATTGGTAAAAATAGTCATCAATCAAGTTATCATAGCAAGGTCATTTGAGAAAGTGAGAATCTGTCTTTCTGTATTCTGAACCTGGAAAAAAGTGGTTAAATATGCACATTATCCATGTGCACTTGTCTTCAGATCTAATTCCTGCCCTCTTTGTATGTCTTTTATATGCAGGAGGGTCTAATGACTATAAATGAATAATACACCCTTGTGGGAATGATTACATGATTTCAGATTTTACTTCCTTGAGTATAAAAAGAGGTGACAGATTAAACTTTATGGGTTGTCATTGTTCCACTGTGTTTGGGACAACACTTTAATGACATTTTCCCATGCACTGGTATCAAAGGCACAGAGAGTTTGGGAGAGAAATTTGCTTCAAGGTAAGAATTCACGTAAAGTGCAGTGGCATTTCTGAGAGGGGCAAGACAGATCACATCCAATATCACGCTTCCTTGGTCCAAGATGAGAGGGGCACTGTGGTTTGACAAGGGCTATGCAGGAGTCACGCCCAAGTTACAGGTGAGCCATTGCAATATGTCACCTCTTCTGCACATCTCACCCGTTCTCACCAAGTTACATGGCCTGGCAGTTCCTTTGAAGTTTGTTTGCCTTGCTGAATGCTGAATTCCCTGGACAGGAGTTTACACATGCGTGCTAAAAAAAAAAAAAAAAAAAAGAAAAAATAAAAAAAGAGAGAGAGAAAGTAATTCTAGAAGGGTATTATTGCTCAGAGAACGTAATTACAATTTTGTCATTAAGAAATTACTGACCTACATAATTGATACTCAGAAGTGTAAGTGATACTGTAGACAACCTATCTCCTATTAGATCCCAGCAAGGGAGCTTGCCATCTTTTTAAACTGATGCATTAGTATGTGTCAGATTCAGACACCCATCTGAAATTACTAGCTGTAATTAATATAATTAATTATCTACTATTAGGTGCACCTATATTTTGGTAGGACCCTTTCAGAGAGCGAGATAATTTGATATATTAGCTGGAAAACATCCAGATATTTTATATCTAAAATGATTAGGAGGCAATAAGACACGTTTACTGCTTTCACAAATAATTCTGTAATGAGGTTGTAGGAAAACAATGAAGTTTACAAGTAATAAATCAGGGCAATGTTAAAGCTGTTGATAATTGCACTACAAATAGAACCTAGAAAAATTTTCTGGCAAAGAGTTTGTCATCGTTGAGCAATACAGCTGTGATGACTGACCCTATTCACTAACTGAGGGGACAGTTTGATCAAAGGAAAAGGTGATCCTTTGCTGGAGATGACACAATATTACACACTGATTCCTTTATTTCCTAAAATGCCTTATTGTTTCAAGAGCGAATAAGCAACTTAAAAAGGCTAATTAAACCCAAATAAAAAGGAAAACTTTCCTTTGTGATCACTCTTTTCTCTTTCTGACACAAAAAGGGAACAGAGAGTGGGTTTGCTCAAAGAAAATGCTCTCAACTCTGAAACCATATATTATTAACAATTTTTTCTTTCTCAAGAAAAAAAAAAAATCTAAAATTACTTTTGAACAACAACAACGATGCTTGTCTTTGCCTTAGGCATGACCCCAACAGAAATTTTTTATACTTTGACACAAAGTGTAAGCTGCATTTTGTATTCCAACAAGAAGTATTTTAGACAGAACAATGATTTCTCCAGCATATTACAAATTTCACTGATCTCTGCTGTGCTGCACTGAAAAGACACATTATAACCCATCTGTGAAAAAGAGGAGACAAGTTATTAAGGGACTATTAGATAAACATGAGCAGGAGAGTACAAAGGTTATGCTGCCCTTATGAGCCATTTAGTAATGGCACTACACTTATATACACCTACATACACTTAATAATTATATGATGACATAATTAGGTCAAAACACACAGCTTTTTCACGGTCACTTTCATGCCATGAAACAATGAAGTGATACCTCACTTTGTGCTGTCCCAGATGACATGTCCACACTATGCACTAGCGTAGGGCAAGGTACTGGCTCAGGCCTGAAACCTATTTACAAGAAGACATGGTTACTGGCAGCAGTGATGGTTTTTTGGCTGGTGGGGATCTCAAGAAAATGATGTAGTGCTCAAGAGTCTGTGTGTGTGTGTGTAACACAATGTAGGATTCAGAGAATGATAACATAGAAAGAACAGTAAAAGTTATCTGTTGGAAAGATACAACTAACAAGAGGAGTATTTATTTCTTATAGATTTGAAAGCTGAAATATTGCCATTATCTATAAAGGACCTTATAACTTCCTCCAGTAAACTCCTTTTGTGCCCAGCCTATCTGGCAAAATCCTCTCTGAGGGTTATTGTGCTGGCACACAGACACACAATATCTCTGCAACATGTTAAAGCCTTCATTAAAGATATATCAGCTTTGTCACATGTTATATCAAGCTGTTGTGCATCTTCACTTGGGGATTTTGCTGACTCCATCCAAGTTCACAGGAGATGGAAATGTGGCAACAAATGAGCCCATGGAAAGGTCTGTAGGATGAAGCTGCAAAGTTCTCAACTTGTTAGTATTATCTTGATCATGAATGGCATCGGCTGTTGCTCTTTTATACAAAACTGTTCTTCTAAACCTTCTGCTGTGTGTTCACCACTGCTGCTTGCCACTGCTAAGACAGAAAACAAGGAAAGATTTTGTGAGGCTTATAAAGTTCCAGTGGGATGAGCCCTGCTAACACTGAGGTCATAGCCACCCCTACATGTGACAACATGCTGAGATTAATAATTCTGGCTTTTGGTGGCTCACTGTGTGCTAAGGACATTATGTCATTGCACAGCTGAGAATGTCAAAGTATGAGACAGGCTGCTTGTATTAGACCAGGCTGTCTGGGGTGAGATTAGGTAGCAAAGTATCCTGTCTCCAGCAAGAATCAGCAAGCGGATACAAAGGAAGGAGCAGAAGAAAAAAAGCAGGCATGCAGTGATTCCACTCCAGGGTGCTCTGCCAGTCTGCAGATCACTTATGGCTCACAGACTTGTTGGAGAGCTGCCTTTGCTTTTGACAACCTCCATTAGATCTGGACTCCATGAAGTTGCACAGTCACTGCACCTTAACTTCTAGCACCCATGGCATCCTAAGACAGGGAGTTCCATGATCCCACAGGATCCCCCACTAAAGAGCTTGCTGTCACAGCCCAAGCAGATCTTGTCCTTCACATTGTCATCTAGCAGCTCAAACTTCAAATAAGCTGCAACTTGAAAGAAAGGAAAACAAATTCCAGATGACCATCCTTTGAAAGCCAGAGTGCCCAGAATTTTTTTCTGTCACTGTCTACACGTAATCCATTCTCATCCCGAGTTCACCCACACATCTCGTAGGGCTGTGAGACATTTGAAATTTAATTTCCCCAAGGACAATGGACCTGTTTCCTAAAGCAGTCTGCCAAAATCTGTCAACTCATTTGTCCTTCCGTCAAACCTCACCAACAAGCAGGTTCCTTCTTGCTCCACCAGAAAGGAGTAGCTCCATGCAGGACTGGTTCGGCCAAAATTGGAGTCACAGTTACCAGTGGGACTGGCTAGCTGCTCCCAGCTGCTCCATATGCAGGCAGCTGCCTTCTTCTGATGCCTGCAGCCAGACGTGTTTGTTGGTTGGGTTTTTTTTCCCAGAAGAGCAGGGACTTTCGTCACAGATTGAATGCCAGCAGAGAGACTGATTTTAGAGATGTTTTTCCGCCATTCGTTTTCTGCTTCTAAATTTGTAGCGTAATAAATATTTAAGTAGAGATTATTTTTTATCTCCTTTGATAAAAAGTAAACTGCGAACTTCCTGTGAATGAAAAACAATGTAGTGATTGAAAATAATTATAACAGATGACTCATGAGTCTACAGTGGTTTTTGCATCAGCAAATAAAATTGGTCAGGATAGATGGAAAAAAGTGCATTGAAGTTTAACTACCAAATGCATCTTCCGAGTCCTCATTACCAAACCCTTTTCAAATGAAGTCTTTTTCATCGTAAATCACCCAGCTAAGTTTTGCATTTGCAAATTTTTTTTAATTAAAAAGCGAAAGAAGAAAAATGGAATAAGCACTCATAGTGACACCTCTTGAGAACAACGGGCTTTCCAAAATGCAAACAATTAGAGAAGTCTAAGCTATGTACTCACTCACACAAAGGGTATAAAACCCCAAAAACAGTGAAGGAGGAATTACTGTGCCGAGTGAAGGCCTTTCCAGTTTTTACTTATTTACTGTTTCTCCCTTACAGTCTTCTATTGAAACTCTTGCATTTCATCAACAGCTTTTTAGCTTCAGGACTCTTTTTCCCATAGGATTCTAGACTTTGCCAGATTGGACCAAAGCAATCCATTAATATGGTAAGCTATTGTCTATGTTCTTCTGTTAAGAGCTGCCAGTACTAACTATTTGAGGTGAATATTGACTGAGAGATAAATTAAAAGTTGGCTAGAACACTCGAGTATTGTTTATTTTCTCTTTTAAGAACATTTTCTCCCATTCTATAATATTTGGGAGTGGGAAGAAAGTACTCCTTCCTTGAAACAGATACCTTTTCCTTCATAGTCTTTCCTGGTCCTGTTTCTTCTCTTACCTGCTTTTATATTCTCCATTACAAAATTATTTGCATGCTAGTCTGTCCAGAGAGAAGCTGACACCCCATCTTTAACAAGTCCTTGAGAAGAAAGTCAAAGAACACATAGGAAATGCAAACATAAAGAATTTAAATTATTTGCTCAGGATTGTGTTAATAACAAATTCAGAAATATTTAATGAAGACCAAATCTTGAATTTCTTTTGCTGGGGAATCAAATGGTTTGAAATGATATCTAAAGAGCAGCTGTTTTATCTCAACTGAAAGAAGCAGCACAACGGAGTCAGGTATTTTATTCAGCTAACACAGGCCCCAAAGGGTGATTAAGGATACACCTAGAAACGACTGAGGGGAAACACAGCTTATCACAAGGCAACACTAACCAAGAAAATCTGAACTTGCACCCTTCATGGAGCTTGTATGTTTACTTTTCCTCTGAGCCCATATTACTGAGCAAGACTCACAGGCCCATCTCCCAAATACAGCTTGGTGCTCATGGCATTCACCCAGCAACTTCCCAGGTTAGCAAAGAGCATTCTTGGTCATGTTTACCACACATTTAACCACCAGGATGTATCAGGTGGATAACCCTAATGCCTCTCTTCAAGCTGGATAACTCTGCCAGATCCCAGGAGGTGGATAACTCTATTCAGTGGGGGTTAGGGTCATGTCCCTCTCTCATGGACTATTTATGCACTTCACATTGGACAGCTGTTGGTTGACTCCAACCACCACTATTCTACAGCCTGCTATCAATGTATTTGCTCAGGGTCTGAATCTCTGAGGATTGCACGCTAAAAACCTCCCAGTGAGATCAGGGGAGCCATTCTTAGGAGTTAGGATTGCGATGAGTGCTCAGCTCACCTCTGTACTGACCACAGAGTGTACTGAACACCATCCCTCTGTGTTTTCTTTGCAGCCAGTTATTCTTTGATATCTTACTGCACTGCCTTTTTGACAGTTTTTCTACTGGTGGGCTGACAAGGATCCATGACAGCTGTCCTGCTTCTGACCTGCTACAGCATGGATATCTGGCTCTGTCTCTATAGGACTGTTCTTCATTCAACAGGTAAGGCTAAGCCAGGTATCTCTGCATGACTATACCTCATACTATATAAATATGCATAGCATTGTCTGCATTCAGCCTGGAGCCACCCTTCCCTGTCTCTGTCATACCTTAATGTTTCTAACACAGTTGTCAACAGGAACCTCCTAGACAACAGCCCAAAGATTCCTCCCTGCTTGTGGGCTGTCTCTGTCTGTAGGTAGAACAGTTACCTCTGTAGGACGCATTGTAAAATGGTTGTCAAACTTCCCTTGCTCGGTGCCTGTCTCACCTCTGAAGTTCCCAGAGGTGACCAAAAAAAAAAAAAAAAATTAGACCTGGAAGGTGAAAGTATGGAGCCAGACTCAGACTGGGAGTTCAGCAGAACTTGCAGGGTCGAGCCTAGATGGGCCCCAGGAGATGAGGCCGGGAAATTTATAGTCAGAGTAGTTGTTGGCTCTGGGTATCAGGTCAATCTCATTATCTTCAACACAGTCAAAGAAGATGAACTCACAGAGTACAAACCTTGCACTGCAAACCACTTACACAGCTCTGCTGTACTAATTACATTAGTACTGCTTTCCCTTTCAGCCTAAGCAATCGCTGCTTCTGCCTCACATGGCACCTGGAGTTCAAACTCCTCCTCACCTCCCACACAAGCCCTGCTGTTTCGTGCCCTGTGCTCTGTTAACAGCCACTGTGCTCATGCCAGCAAGGCAGGTGTTTTATTTTGGTTTGGATGACGTTATTCCCATATACAATTGATAAAGGGCTCTGGGATGAATGATAAGACACTATCTTCAATTATTGAGGCCAAACTCTGAATTTTTTTCCCAGGTTCCGTAACAGGTTCTTCTCATAAGGGGCTTGAAAAACTTAATCAGTTGAATAAATAAATCCAGATTGAGAGTCCTGCGCCAGTTCAGCAGAGTCTTGCTAATAAAGCTCTTGATCAGCACATGGGAAAAGTCTCATAAAATGTCTCTTTTCCCACCAGCTGCTGTCCTGGCTTAAGAAAAAAAGCTCTTTTCAACTGCCTGCTACATCCTGTTCTCCTTTCCCTGAATAGCCCTGTACAACTTTCAAGTTATAACATAAGCAAACCAAGAAACTGCTTTCTTTTCTTTCCCCACAACCTCAGAAGTAGAGCCCACACCAAAAACAAACCCCTGAGCACATAAACATCTTTAAGCACACTCAGCCTTTTAGACAAAGGCTCATAAAGGGCTCATACACAGTTAATTTTCTGTTGAACAGGCTTGGTACCATGGAAATTAACTCATGGATTAAGATCTGGAAATTGCCAAATTATTGTTTTGATTTTAATTACTGGCACGTGTGTCTGGAATAATTTTTTTCAGAGTCACATAAGGCCATTTTAATGGTGGCTGGGCAAGAGAAATACAAAGCTTTCAAATGGCTGGTGAGGTGTCTTCAGCAGAGATTATATCCCTTTTAATCATGTAACATTCATGTTTCTTGAGTTCTCTGGCATCCAGATTCTGGTGTTTGATTGGGATAGGATGACATTGCTTCAAGTCTCTGTCATATGTGCAGTCCAACAGCAGGTTACACACATCTGCCACGGGTTAAAAACAACACAGTGTGTTTACTCATCTAAGGGCTAAGTTAGAGTGTGGCAGCTGCTTTGTAATAAATTTGGAGTGCTCTAACTCTGTAAGGTAGAGCTCTAGACTGACTACTTATTCTTTACAAATTAACATTGAACATTATTTAAGGTAGGGATTAAAAAACTTTCTTGGAGCTTAAAATGGGCATGCAGGATTTCTTTATGGTTTGTTCTTGTTCCACTGACATTTTTAGATCAAGGATTTCTGCCACTCTTCCAAGGACAGATAAGCACACACAGACAGGTTCTACCATTAAAGTGTCTCAGCTTTGTTTAGTAATAAATATTGAAATAAAAATTCTATTTTGGACTGGAGACATTTGCTAAACAAGGGTGAAGTACATTGATCTGAGCTACTTAGCTAATCAATAAGCTTTTGCATGCTTATCTGGAAACCTGTGATCATCTCAACTGCAGCTCCATTTCACCAATTACAGTAAGAAAGGTTAAGCTTGGATTTATTTTTATAAGCAACCTGATTAAGAAAAAATACTTTTTCTTCATCTTTTTCAGTACTTACAAAGTTCATAAAGCCACCATCTAAGTAACAAGCATCATATTTGCTTGAGAACTGCATCTCTTCTTGATGGCTCAGTAGAACAGTGTGCTTGAGTGCAGATAACACATTAATTACTGTAGAAACTGATAACATATTCCTGCATATTTTGCAAAACTGTGAAGTCTGTTCTGCTGAGTAGAAGGATGCAGTGTTTCAGTATGTTTCTACTACACCATGCTGGATCAGGAAAAAGCAGAGAAGGCCTTCAAATGGTGGGAAGAAACAAAAAGTTCACAGGCCTTAGTGTTTTGGGGGCACTTCAGTGACCCCAATAGCAATCTCCAAGGCAGCTGCTCTAGTGTTGGTAGGATGGGCAGTGGAGCACCCCAGAGGGATACACAAGGAGACTCCCTGGACAGAACCTGAAGGGTGAGAGAAACTCAACAATAGCTCACAGCTCACGCCACAGCGCCAGGACACCTGAGTGGGGCCAAAAGCATCAGTGGTCAAACCCCTCTCCCCATAAAAAAAATCCCTTAGGGAACACTGACAAACAGGAGCACTGTGGCACTTGTCAGGCAAGAAGGACACTGTAGCTCAACCAGGGACAAATGGTTTCCACCTGCAGAAGGCCCTGGACTCAGCTCTGCATCCATCACGACTGAGGCAGCTGCCCAGATAGGGCTCTGATGGGAACAGGCTGTACCCCAGTGCCAGCAGAACAATGCCTGGCTCTGAGCCTGCTGTCACCAGCAGAATTTGGGGGTTTTTGTCATGGGTTGGTCTACAGGAAACCAGGCCCATGGGCAACAGATGTGGTACACCTGCCTCAAAGCGGAAAAAGGATCTTAGTGAAAAAGTGAGCAGTGCTAATCAAAAGAGTTTTAATCTGGACTTGAAAGGGGAAAGGCATAAAACCAGGCTGGCTAGAGGTAAACCTGGGGGTGGTAGGGGAGTGTTTGAGGGATGGTGTGATGGCAAGGTCCTTCAGGCTGCTCCACGCTGTGCTGAGCACACTGGAGCCCATCCGAAATGTCCATGTTCTAACATGCACAGCCCCTCAGCCACCTCCGCGGGGCGGGGGATGGACATTCACGGGGCAGCAAAGACATCAGGATGATTCACGGTCTCCGTTCAGGTTATTTGCAAGAAAGTAAAGACATTTCATTTTGATAAAGGGATCTCTGAGTTAGAACTTTGGATTTAGCTGTCATGAGTTTACCTCATATTTCCAGTCTCGGCGTCGCCCGCCAAAAATTTTCCACACCATGGTGTTTACTGCAGACCGTGCTCTGTCCTGCTGCACTGACACACAACCCACCCACAGCATTACTTCTGCTGTCTCTCAGTGTCCTGATACCCACTCTTGTCCACAGTGGTTACATGGCAAGTCAGACCAACAGTGGAAATGGGAGCAATTACAGCATGAGGTTTGGAAGGGGGAGGAGAATATGAGCCCTCAATCTTCACTTACATCAGTGGACTGCAGATAAACCTTGTGAATTCACAGTAAAGCGCTATCTTTGGTCAAATCCAACCAACAGGATAAAGCATAGCAGACAGATTCCCTTTATTTTTCAAAGATATCCTTGAATTTCAAGCCTTTAAATTTTCAGTTTTCATAAAACTGACTGGTTCAAGCTTTTGTTGGCAGATTATTTCTTTAAGTTGTAGATGGTAATGTCTTTAATAAATTCTGTTTTTCAAATTTCAGCCTAAGCTTTTTTTCTTTCAAGGCTTATTTCAGTACTAACAAGAAAGTAACAATGAATTTATAACAAAGACTTTCAAATACAAAGAAGGTAAATGACCACTTCTACTTGGCTCTTCCAGGTCAAAATGGACAGTCAAATAATATCACAGTGATGTTATGTTTGTAAACTTTAGATAAACTATAAGGAAGACTAATAAATGCATTCTTAGAAAAAAAAATTAAGAAAGGCATTTCTGAAAAGGTAAGAAGTAATAAATTTGAAATTATATCTCATTATTATTTAAAAAATACATCCTTGTTAGAGTGGGAAGGAGAAAATATTAATATTTTACGAGATAACTCTCTAAAAAGAAGTTAAATATCCTGAATACTTTAATACTTCAAATAAAACTGCCTTTGCTCAAATATTTTACACTTTTCAGAGGACATCCACCATGTCTAACTGCAAGTTTTGTCATAACCTATGCTTGAGTGATATTACTATGAAACCTCCAATTTACCCTTTGAAAAACTGAAGGTAACCTGAGCCATAACAGAAAGGAAACAAAACAAAAATGTTGCAGCTATAGACTGAACATGGACAAACAGCCACTGTTCAGTTCCTTTTATGCATACATACTTTCTAAAACCCAGAGGGATTCCCCAAGTGCATATTCAAACAAGGTCTAATTTTACTAAAAATCTAGGACCTTTTTTATTGAAGTTTGAAGGAAGGTAGAAAGCCCATTCTACAGGATGTTGAAAAATTCTGACATTTATTTTTCTTCTGAGACAGAACTCAAAGCTGCTGCTTCTAAGTGTTATATTTAAAACTAATAATAATGTTTATTTATTAGAAAAAAAACCCAACCAAACAAGAAAATCCAACCACTTTGCTCCGAAGACAATTTCTTCCATTTTAATTAATTACATCTACATATTTCAAAACAGTTAATGTTAGGTGAAAAAAAAAAAAAAAAAAAAAACACAACACAAAACCAAAATACTATTCTATCCAGAAAGCATCAGGAGAGAACATTAAAGGTTATGTAAATGCATTTTTCTGGGAGTCAGGGAATTTCTCCACAAAAATATATTTCTCCAAAATACTATGACACAGACATTTTCTAATGGCAAATTGCTTCTGCTGGTGATATCCCAACTGGCTGCAGTTCCTGTCTATGATGAACTGCTTGGCCAGT